TATAACGCTGGAGTCTAGGGTTTGATTCCCAGTTTGGCCATGAAACCTATCAGGGGTGACCTTGGGCAAGTCACACCCTCTCAGCCTTAGGAGGTCATGGCAAACTCCTTCTGAACAAATCTTGCCAAAAAAAAAAAAAAAAAAAACCAACCCCAAATCATGAGAGTCGCTAAGTAGGAAACGACTTGAAGCTGCACAACAAACATAATAAAATACAGTATGTAGAGAGATCTTGTAGCGCCTTTGAGACTTACTGAAATAAAGAGGTTGGCAACAAGAAGTCCTGCTGCTAACTTTTCTTTCAAAGGCGCTACAAGATCTCTTTGCATAACTGATTCTACAGACTAACACAAGTGTATCTTTGAATTCGATATTTTTATTTGGTAGGCATGGCCCCAAATCCATCTGAGGAAACAGACTTTAGTCTGGAAACGTCCTGCTGCCAACTTTTCTTTCAGTGAGTCTCAGGTGCAAGAAGACCTCTCTGCATACTGATTCCACAGACTTAACACGAATGTATCTTTGAATAATAAAATACAGCATGTGTACTATAGTTGTAAATAAACCACACGAAATGAATTTTTATTTATATGTATATGAACGCCTTAGGCTTGTCTTTGGGTGTCACGCCCTCCATTTTGTGGCGCCAGGCCCTCCTCCGCGGCGAGAGGAGACGCACCTACGGGCGCTAACGGTCCCTCGCGCGCGAGAACGACCGCCTCAGACCAAGACCGCCACGCGCCCTCAACGGCTCCTCTGGGGGAAAGGGGCGTGGCGAAAGGGGAGGGGGAGCGAAAGAGGCCCCGCCCCTTCCAGCCCACTCGGCTCTCTCATAGGCGGGCGCTTCCCCGCGTGGGGGTTGCCATGGCGACGAGTCGCTAGGCTGCCGGCTCGTGTGTGTGTGTGGGAGCCGAGTTCAGGCTAGAGCTCGCCGGGAGCCCCGGAGCGAGAAGCTGGGAGGCTGAGGGCAGGCGGCGCCCCTCTTCCTCTGCCCCGAGAGCCTGAGGCGGCCCTGAGGGCTACTCGGAGGGGCTCCCCGCTGTGGACGAAGAAGGAGAAGAAGCCCGGGTGGAGGTGGGGGGTGCCTTCGCCCTGGAGGTTGAGGGGTGGCAGGGAGGCAAACAAGGCCCAGCCCTGGAGGCTTGAACCCAGGCCTGGTCTGCCTCACCACCAGCCTGCCTTCCTCTCCTGCCCTGGCAGGGGCCACCCTCAGGGGCCTCTCCCTGGTCCTGGAAGCCTAGCTGCTCTGGGCCCACCAGCATTGGGAAGGAGGGAGGGAGGCAGCCCTGGCAGGCAGGGGCAAGAGGACCAGCCCCCACAAAATACCTCCTAATCCTCCTCCTCCTCCTGACCCCAGAAAGCCAAAGATCAAGGCTCTCCTAATCCTCTTCCTTCTGACCACAGAAGGCCAGGGGCCAAGGCAGTGGCTGCCATGTCTCCTTGGAGCCCCCCAGGCGGAGGCGGTGGCCCTTGTCCTGCCAGCAGCCTCCCTTGGCTATGAGGATGGGCAGTGGCGGGTCCTCAGGCCGGGAGGAGCGGCTGCCTTCAGCGGCGGAAGAGCAGCTGAGTGGCGGGGACCGTATGCTGGAGCTCTCTGGGCGCTACTTGAAGAAGTTGCCCATCCCGGTTTGTGCCTTGAGCACTCTGCAGAAGCTCTACATCAGTGGCACGGGAATCACGGAGCTGCCTGAAGAGATCGAGGGCCTGCAGGAACTGCGCATCCTGGCTCTGGACTTCAACAAGCTGGAGGAAGTGCCCGAGGCACTGTGCCGCCTGCCCCACCTGACCCGCCTCTACCTGGGCAGCAACCGCCTCTTTGGGCTTCCCGCAGATTTCTGCCAGCTCAAGGAACTCCGTTGTTTGTGGATAGAGAGCAACTACCTGTACCACTTTCCCCGGGTCCTGCTCCAGATGCCCGGACTACAGTCCCTGCAGATGGGGGACAACCGGCTCAAGACTCTGCCCAGTAGCCTGCCACGCATGAGGGGACTCCGGGGACTCTGGTTGTATGGGAACCGCTTTGAGGAATTCCCAAAGCCCTTGCTTCGCATGACCCAGCTTCACATCCTTGACCTTGACCGCAACAAGCTGACAGAATTTCCCGACTTGAGTCACCTGCGGAGGCTTAAGCTCTTCTCCTATGACCACAACCCAGTGGAAGGCCCACCTAATGTGGCCGACAGTGTTGTGGTGGTGGGCGAGGGAGCTCAGGAGTTTATGGAGGCCCGGGAGGAACGACTTCACGCCCTTCGGGAGCAGGAAGAGAAAGAACAGGAGGAGATTGAGTCCGAAGTTCTGCAAGCCAACTTGAAAAATGACTCCTCCATGTTGGATGATGAAGAGGGCAGCTTTTCGGCCCTGGAATGTGCTCCAGAGGAAACATGAAACAGGACGTATAGCATGGTTGTTGCTTTAAACAAATCTGGTGGATATTGACATGCTTTTGAATTTACATATTTCCTTCAGAGAATTAAGAGTTGGGCACTGTCACTGGGCTCAGAAACCATGGTTTTGGAGGCAGGATCTTGAGCAACTGTTGAATGTGGCAGTTGCCAGCCAGTTGCACAGGACAGCTAATCCCAACTCATGTAACTGTATCGAACTATGGATAACTTTATGCCTTGTGAACAACCTTCCTAATTCCAGGATATGAAGGATGGAGTGGGTGGTATAGATAATGTGTTTGCACAGTGGATAATTCCATGTACCCATTCTTTGAAACGGTAGTCCTTTATTGCCAACTGAAGCTATGGATAGTAGTCACATTGTGGTGGAAGCAAGAGTATCAAATTAACATTAATTTTGTGGCAGGCAGGTAACTGGGGGGGGATACCAACATGCTTGGCATACTACAGTGAGTCTCAGCAACAAGACAGGATAAAGCCATCATGTTTATTTATTCATCCACCTACCCCACATCTTGAACCTGGAGTCCTGCTGACTTGAGAGTCTGAATAAAATCTTCTTTGATTGCAGGAATTTTAACCTTCTACTGGAATTAGACTTGGAGAAAAGCTCCCTGACTACTCCTTCCGGCTGTTAGGTCTGAAATCTTGTTTGTGCAAAGAGCGATCCATCCCAGAAAGTGCTTTGCCTGCACTCTTTGTATGGTGGGAAAGGAGCTGTGCCTGTTGCCTTGCTGCTTTCCTGGACTTTCTATTCCCTTAAAAGGACACAGAAGCAAAACTGATATGACCTGGGCCATTGCAGACTTGTGTGGGTCTTGGATAGAAGGGTGGCAGCCACAGGACTTTCCCCTATTTTGGAGGATGGCAGGTTCATTTTGGTGGGGGCTCTCAGGCTAGATTAGTATGAAATCTAAGCAATAAAAGCACAGAAGGCGGAGTGAGAGAACTGAAGTGGGAGCAGCTGAGGGGGACACAAATTCTCAGGGAGATTGCTCCAGAAGCAGGAGACCAAAGCTGCTGGGTGGGTTGGGGCTGTTTTTAGAGTGTTGTAAATGAAATTATAACACCTCGTGAAAGCAAACAAAATTCTCAGGCATTTGTGTTATTTATAAAAGTCCTCTCTTTCCTTTGCCAATTTCTAAACAAAGCCTCATTTGTTTGTGCTTCTTTCTTTCTCAGTCTGTTTCTCTTTCCTTTTCCCTCCCTTCCTCCACCTGCTTCCCCTCTTTTTCTGCCTTTGCTCTCCACTTCTGTTCTCCTCCCCTCCATAGCTAACCATCACTGCTTCCTTTCTCCTTTGGTCTAGCACAGACCTCTTCATCAGCTGGACCAAAGGTGTGTTTGATCTCATTTTGGACTGATTTCACCGCACTTAGTCCCATATCTGCATTGGCATGACATGCTACCTGAGCACTGCCAAAATGAACATCTTGATGTTGGATTAGTTTCAGGGAAATAATGAGCCTGTATATCATAGCTGTCCATTTTATTACAAAAAACAGAGATAGCTGTGTGGGCCATAAGAAAAATTCTAAATTCTATATATAGGTAATACCTATATTGCTTTTGTTGTGTCCCTTCACATTGCTTCTGACTTATGGTGACCTTAAGGCAAAACTATCATGTGGTTTTCTTGGCAAGATTTGTTTAGAGAGGTTTTTCCTTTGCCTCCTCTGAGGCTGAGAGAGTGTGACATGCTTAGATTCACCCAGTTGGTTTCTGTGGCTGAGTGGAGATTCAAACCTTGGTTTCCAGAGTCATTGTTCAATGCTCAAGCCACTATACCACACTCCTATATTAGGTCAACCCCAAATGCACTTTTTATTACAATTTATTTCTGTTTTATTTACTGCTTGCCAAGTCCTATTTTTTCTTTTTTCTTTTTTAAATAAATATTATTCACCTTACAGCCAGTTTTGCTGTTTCTGATGGAGTGCCTAGGTTTTCCCTTATTCTGAACATTCAGTGCAGTCAGTCTTTCCCTTTGGATTGTTTACAGATTGCTGATTCATTCAGAATGTTTTCACACTTTTATTAGTCCAGCATCACCACCACCATGTGTTTTGAGAAGTTTCCTTCCATAGATCTGTGGTTGCACAGCTGGGTACTTCATGTGCAGCTTTATTTTTTTACAGCTGCCTGCTGCTGTTCACAACTGAGTGCCACAGCATTAGTACCAATTTATTGTTAGAAGAATCCACATCTATTTTTAGCCTCATAGAGTTTACTGCAGGAAGTGATGCCGGTTACATGCACAGGTTTCTGTTTGAACTTTTGGTTTGCATTTTGTCAAGGGTGGCTGCAGAGCTGGGCGGTGACAGATTGAGCTTTAACTTCGCATCCTAACTACAATGTGTTTCCCAAAGCGCTTTTTCCCCCTGAATAAGAGGCTCAGTAAGTGAGTATTACTTTTGTTGGAGACTCGCCCTTGTGTATGTTGTGTGCCTTCAGGTCGTTTTCGACTTATGGCAACCCTAAGGCTCTCCTAAGACCCTAAACCCTGTCATGGGATTTGTTCAGAGGGGGTTTGCCATTGCCTTTCCCAGAGCCTGAGTGCATGTGAGTTGCCCAAGATCATTCAGTGGGTTTCATGGTCAAGTTGGGAATTGAACCCTGGTCTCCAGAGTTGTAGTCCAACACTCAAACCACTACACCACACTGGCTCCCCAAATGCTTTTGTTGTTGTGTGCCTCCAAGTCATTTTTGACTTATGGTGACCCCAAGGTGACCCTAGGGTTTCTTGGCAAATTTATTCAGTGGAGGTTTGCCAATGCCACTCTCAATGAGGCTGAGAGTGTGTGACTTGTCCAGGGTCACTCAGGGTTTTTTTATGCCGAAGCAGAGAATTGATCCCTGATGTCCAGAATCAGTCTAACACTCAAACCACTACATTGGATACTCATCCTTGGTTCCAACATTAGACTTCTTCACAACTACCTAGGGTTGCCAAAGTGAAAATGGAGGAGGGCTCCTGTACCTTTAATGGTTGTGCAGAAGAGGGAGGTTCAGCATGAGTTCCTTCTTATATGACAACCATACCTGCTGAAATTCCTTCTTTGACAAAACCATTAAAGTTTATAGTCTGGTAACCCTACGTACTACCATTAACACTGTATTATTGCACTCACCACACCACCATAGTTGGAAAACCATACTAGCATCCTATACAGTGGGCCCTTTTTCAGTATTTGGGAGGTACAGATGACTTTTGAGAATGGGAGGCCTTGTTATCTTGATTGTAGCTTCTTTTCTAGAATGTTATGGGAAGAAGTACTTTTTCATTGATGGGATTCATATTTGTTCCTTAAAATTAAAGACAGTTGACATTTTTGTCTGTCAAGCCTTGAAATATGGCAGGACTGAAAAATGCAATTGGGAACGGTGCATCAACTTTAAACCATACCAAACCTGTCTGACTCTTACAACAGGTTTGCTGATTGTAATTTGGAATTTGCAAGAAGTAGGTGAAATCCTGACATTATCTTTGAAATCAGTGTAAGTTTTATTCTTCAATGAAATATGCTTGGGCTTTGTTTACATTTTTTTTAACTTACAATTTGCTTCCTCACTTAAGCTCTTTAATAGTGTTGAGGGATTGTTCTTCTACAGTTTGCTGAAAGTAAAAAGTAGTTCCTTGTGGTACTTGATATAATATTGTGTCATCCAACAAAGCTCATCCTCATGGTTTATTGTTAACTGCCATCAAGTCATCTTCGACTTAGGGTGACCCTGTGAATGAAAAGACCTCCAGGTCTTCCTATCATGTACCATCCTGCTCAGGTCTTGCAGTTTCAGGGCTCTGGTTCTTTGACTGACTCTATCCATCTGGAATGTGGTCTTCCTCTTTTCCTACTGCTTTCTACTTTGCTAAGCATGATAGATATTATTTTATAGAGTTTATGGAGAGCTTAAAGTAAGTCCTGTTCAGTAAATGTCTCCTGTAACTTTAACTAGAAGCTTCCTCCTTGGGAATTCAAGGGGCTAAACCAGGGGTAGGCAACCTTTCCCCTTTAAGGGCTGAGGGACTTCAGCTCCCAGAAGCCTCAGCTGTGTTAGCCAATAGTCCCATGTTGGCCAATAGCTCCGGGGATTCTGGGAGCTGAAGTCCCTCGGCCCTTAAAGGGGAAAGGTTGCCTACCCCTGGGCTAAACAGACCAGCAGTAAGTGCCGGCTTACCAGTAGTTTGGGAACATGGAGTACACATGACACCTGCCTCCAAGAGTCAGGAAGCTGGTGTCATGCCGCCCTGCTGACTACACAGCGGGCAGCATTGCGACACTCTGGCAGTGCAGCATTTATACATCGTATGCCACTGGAGCAACAAAAGAAAACACCGTGATGGCAGAAAAGGCACATTTTTTTCTGGCACAAAAAGGAGCGGTTTTCTGCCTCTTCTTTTTGCACCGGGAAAACATTGGGTTGGGGGCATGGCATGCGGTTGCCGCAGCCCCAACCCAGTGCTCAAAGGAGTGGCATTAAGCCATCCCTTTATGGCTGTCTGTTTGGCCCCAAATTCTATTTGCTGTATTCATTATGGCCATTACATTGCATCTTAATTGGTCCCTTTCTTTACTTGTACCTGTTGGTGGCTTTAACTACTGATCTCATCTCATTAATTGTTTCTTTAAAAATATTGTGGAACAGTGCTACTCAGATTGAAAAATAAAATAGATGTGGGAAAACATTTAAACTGCTTCTTGATTGGAACAAGATCTATTTTATTAAGCAATTCATCTTTTGTGTTCTGGCCATACTGAGCAGGAAGCAACTAGAAGCAAAAATTGTAAGGAAAATCCTAATTAAAGCCACATTAGTGCTGAAATGTCTTAATAATACTTTGCCTTTTCACAGAGCAACCTTAATCTTGGTGTTTGAAAAATTAATTATCCCTTTCTAATTAAGACAATTGTCAAATCAGATTTTTTTAAAAAAAGATAGGAAGACAATACAACAGTCATTGGAATACCATTAACTGGCAGTGTCATCTAGATTCTCTGTAAAATGTCAGTGGATGAAAGATTGTAATTCTAGACCTAATGCCTCGTTTGTGACACATGACAATATGAAAATAGTTAAGCTCATTATTGTTAACAGTCAGCAAGTTGACTTTGACTTATGGTGACCCTGTGAATGAAAGACCTCCACGTCACCCTGTCATCAGCAGCCCCCCTCAGATCTTGCAGACTCAGGGCTGTGGCTTCCTTGATTGAGTCTGTCCATCTGGAACGCAGTCTTCCTCTTTTACTACTGCTTTCTACCTTCACCAAGCATCATTGTCTTTTCTAGTGAGTCATGTCTTCTTATGATATGTTTAAAGTATGACAGCCTCATTTTACTCATCTTGGTGTCCAGGAAGAGCTCAGGCCTGATTTATCCTAAGACCCACTTATTTGTCTTCTTAGTCCAGGGCATCCGTAGAAGTCTCCTGCAGCACCACATCTCAAATGACTTGATTCTCTTCCAATCAGCCTTCTTCGCTGTGTAGCTTTCATAACAATACATAGAAATTGGAACTACAATGGCATGGACATTAAGCCCATTACAGTTGCTAAAATCACTCTCACCACATTTGTTGTCCTTGACCACCAGATGTCAGGTAAAATGGAAATGACATACTGCATATACTCATGTATAAGTCTAGAAATTTTAGTCAAAAATTAGCCCAAAAAACCTAAGTCGACTTATCCATGGGTCAATGTAAGTACTGTACTTTGACTCTAATATAAAAGGAACCATCCCCTGCTGAAAGGCAAGAGTGTAATCTGTCATGCAACCTTTGACTCCTTTCTGCTCTGTTACCCATCCAACATTTAATGTGAGTACAAGCAGTTATGCCTGCTGGAATTTTGTAACTTCTTTGGCATTGTTTTCCTTTGCTTCGTCCTTTAGATCCTTTGTTACATGACCCTAAATTTTAACCTCAACTTATCCACAGGTAATATCAAAATCCATAATTTTGACCCCCAAACCTGCTCTCGACTTATACATGCGGTTAATTTATAGCCAAGTATATATGGTATATGACTTTAAGGGGATTGTCACTTCAATTTAGGCAAGAGTTCAGGGGAAAGATGTTCCATAGTCAATGTGCATTTATCATGAACACCTTTCTGACTGAGTGTGCAGTTGTTCCAGTTTAGGGCACAGAAGGTTGATACCAGAAATCCTCCTGGACAAAATCTGATGATATAATAAAACAGTGGAGGTTGTTGAATGGTTATGTCAACTCCATCTTTTTAGGGCTTCAAAAGTCACAGTCAACACAGTACAATTACCTTCATTGTGTTTAGTGGGATTGTCTCCCAGGAAGATGTGTTGGGAATTGCAGTCTATATATAACTTAGAAAGTAATAGGAATTCACAGGTGCCAGTGAGGTGATGTGTGCTTCCATTGACTTATCCAGATCAGAAAGTGGACAAATGTGGTATATTGTTTGAAGCTTGCATCTGCCTTGGTGGCTGATACACATATAATACATTATAGCAGTCTTATCTGAAAGTTGTGAAGCCTGAGCCTTAAAGAAAAGGCTACAGCGTAACTCATAAAAAAGACATACAATTGAAACCTGATTGTGCTGTGTCTGAAGAAAAAAATCTGGGAGTCCCTTGTGGCTTTGAATTTAAATTTCCAGAATGGGCTAAACACAGTGTGGTGAAACCAAATTCCCTTGTTATCACAAGCCCCATCATCACTTCTATCATGTCTGGATTTTAGTCAGTTCAGCCCTCGTCTTGCTTCTCAACAGTTGCTGTCTGTATTTTGTGTATTTTGTTCACATACCTATGAAATGATAGCCCAGGTTATCTGGCATTGTCTCAAGAACTGAAACCCACTTCAATCAGCACTTTTTGTTAGTGGTCTAAATTTAGAAGTTGGCTGTTTCAGAGTTTTGCACTTAAGGAATATTGTGACTGATGAGAGCCTAAAGTAAGAGTTGGGTATTCCTGGGTTTCAATCCATAAAAGTCATTAGGTAAACATAGGCAAGCTGAACAGGTTTTTTTAGTCCTAGCTTCTTCTGACTATATGGAGGTATTGATACACTTTTCAGGGCCATTGTAAGGTTTAAAGGAAAAGATTATAGCTTTTTATTTCTAAATCATTCAAATTTTTAAATCAACAAAATACGCAAAGCAGCCTATAAGAATAATAAGAAACTATGGATTGGGATCCATGCTAAAAGTTAGTTGAATTTTGATTTCTAAAAGTGCAGTTTAGTCATGGCTGAACCAAAGTCTTACTGGTTTTAGTAAGGTTAAATTTAATTCAATTAATTTTTATAAAACCCATTAAGGTATATGTAAAGAAAGATAACTTACGTTAAGTACTTTGGCAATTTCAATTTGCTGTATTATTATATATTATTACTGTGCCCTGAATTAATTGGATAATTGTTTCTGCTTTGCTGTTGAAGAGGCCCGTTGCCTAAGGTAGGGGTGGGCAACTGTCAGAGGTTTTGGGACCACATTGGCCCTCTAAAAGACATTGTAGAGCTTCATCCACTGCTGTAATTCCAAATATCAAAAGAAATCTCAAAAGAATTGTGCCCCCCTGAATACCCTCCAAACCCCCATTAGCAGGCATGGGGGAAGTTTTACCATTCTGTGCCTTTTGGGGCATTTTAAGCCTAAGAGAGAGCTCTTTTCTAATAGGAATTGACCCT